ACCACCAGCGTATAAATTTGAATTGTACTGCTGTTTCTATATGCTGCAGGTTTTGAATAGGTAAGATTTTCGACATAGACATCTCTTATTTGCAGCGGGTACTCCGCTAGTATTTGATGTATCTATACCATGTTGGTGTTCATCGATGTTTTGCTGCTCTCATCAGCAGTTTAGATCAGCTCCAAGTCTGTTACAGAATACGTCTATGTATTTGTACATTTCACTTTGATGAAGAAAAAAAGAAACATCTGATGACGTATGCTTTCTCTATTTATTTAGACGATGCACAGATAGTACTTGTTTTTTTATTCATATGTTAATTACATGTCTAACTCATAGAGAGAGAGAACGGAAGAACGCGAAGTACAAAACTTTTTTGCGCTTTACTAAGGTGAGTGAAAATAGAGCACAATATTATAAGTACAGGTCAAAGTAATATGGGCTAAAACAACGCTTAAAGAAATAGAGTGACCCGTAACCTATTTGTATTTCGAAATGAGTATAAAACGTAGCTGCAGTTTTAAGGATTTTCAGTTGTTTGCTTTGGTTTATACTCACATTTGGTGTATCTATTGACGACCTATCGTATTCAACCACTTATACAAAACAATTTACACACAACTCTTTTATTATCAACAATATTACATTTCAATCCCCGTTCAAAAGGAAACGAGTTGCTTCGAAAGCATCAATGGACAGGTGAGAATTATTTTCTCTGCTTTCAAAGTCATCGTACACGCGACGTTGCCTAATGTATAGGATACTGTTTTCTTCACAAGTTTCTTTCTAACCATATCTTTGCATTCTATTATCGTCGCCCAGTGGCTGTATTAACAGTTTATCTCCCTTATGTAGATGTATCTTCATTATATTAACATCTTTTACACCATTAAGATAGCTAATACTATCAACGCAACTAATATTAGAAACAAGTATAGAGTGATAATAGGTCCAATATCATGTCGATCATAGATAAAGCCAGTGGCGGTCGATACATCGGCCACTAATATGATCTAAATGAGTTTTACCACGGTTTTATCTCCATTTCATTCCGTCAAAACCCCTATTGGTTTCACGTTAATGCACACAGATGAATAGGGAAATCCTCAAGTGCTAGTGCAAATTGTACCTTCTATTTTATGACGTACTAGATTATACGTTTAAATCTTTACATGATTGTAAGATGGTGAACTATCTTAGTTCCATATAGTTACTTCTTATGAACTTCTACATTGATGTATTCGATTAAAAATCCTTTCGTTACTGAACATATAGTATCGTATACATCCAAATAGTATGTTAGTTTTTACACGAGTGTACAAAGTTGATGATTGCAGTGTTTCTCATCGAATGCAGCGGAGAAGAACACATTTCATGCATAGTTTGGTAGAACTCATAGATTCTAACCGATAGTGATGAAGTATTAGGTATAATATTGTATTTGCAATAATCAACAGCACAATTCGTACTTTATTCGTACCTCTTTGCATCTCATCTACGGATAAATCGGTGATGAGAACGGATGACAATGAAAAAGTGATAGCTCAGTACTTTTTATTTTTTCCTTTCTATTGCTTTTCGGAAGATATATCCATGCGTCACTTATTGACGTCATGACACCTGAAAAACAAGGTGCAATAAAAAGTAAGTAAACAAATAATATTTCTTTTGAATACCTCGCTTGACTGTCAATGGAATAATTAAATGTGCGTATTAAAGAGCATTGCCGAAAGTATTATTATTAGTGTAGAGTATCAAGTATACTTGACGAAAAAAGTCACAGGTGTATCATTAGGACTAGATGATGATTTGCACATCCTCATGCTGACTCGTATCTAAGCATCGTCTTTCAGTCACTTTATCTTGCTCTATCTGCTTCTTGTAGTTCCGTGTCACCGTGGACACCTGTTAAACTGATTTGCGGTATCTTCATCATCTTGGGTATCATCAGTGGCGTCATTGTCATATCCTTGCTTGTTCTGTATTTGGATCCAAAAAGCGATGACCTCACAGTCAACTATAACACGAACGGTAAGAAAATGTGATATTTATCATCATATCGATAAAAAGACTTTGTTTTTAAAAAAAAATAATAGGGGACTTCAATACAGTTTTTGCTACGAACTTGATTGTTGGTAAAGAAACATCCGTAGTTGATCTTGAATCCTTGACTCAACAAGTAAGCATGGATCTCAACATCGTGCATTGGACATCTCATGGTTGGTTTCTCCGTCTAGGTAAATCAACATCTTTCTCTTCCAGCATATCAACTTGGTATCCGATCGGCTACATTGGTACCCGGCACAAGCGTAATTAAGGCTACCAGCACTAGTCGAAAAAAGAAGCGACAAACACAGTAAGTAAACTGTTTTACACTAGTGGTCTATTGTGTGAAAAATTAATCTTTCTCTTCGTCAGAACTAGAGGTGTCATATCATGTGATGCACACATTAATCAGGAAAATGAAGATATCCAACAAGGCGACAAATTTGTCGTCGCGTTTTACCCTCGTAATTGGCCACCATTGGTGTGTGGAAACAATCGTTGTAATAGAGACCAGATGGAGAAGGTGAAATCAAAGCTTGTTGCAAGATTTGGCATGACTCCATTCTCACCTGCTGTAAAATTAAATGATGGCAGTGTTCTATCAATTGAAACAAGATTCTGTGTATTTGGATCAGGTAAAACACTCGACCCATAGAACATACGGACTGACGGTGATAGTAAATTTCTAAGATTTATTCAGTTTGAGAACTGAGGGTGACCCTGAACGTAATAGATTATCGAGCTCATTCTTTCCCATTCTCCACTTTTTGTGATATCAACTACTTCTGGTCACTCATTTGAATAATCCCATTTGCCATTGAGTATGACTGGAGAGGAATCGATAGTAGTTGTTTATTCACTGCTTAGCATTGAAGTAAGTTAGTCATTAACCTAGTGATTGTCTTACTATCATTAACTACTTAGTAAGCTCACTGGGTCGAGCGAAATTAAGAAAAAAGGGTCACCGCCAGCTGGTACTTGACATATCTATGCTCACCCGATATGTCGAGCTCAATCTATTATACACTGCGGTTCGCATTTTAATAATTCAAGCAATACACTGCTTGAGACTAATGTTAATTTGCAAAAAATACTTATCCGGAGTGTCTTTTTGAATGATAGCAATTGTTGATTGACATTATGACCGATGTATCACACAGTATATACTCATGAGAAGCACTCGTAAAGTATAAAAGTTACCTGTTGGTGTTCGCATTTTACACTTTTACAGGCATTCAGGTTAGTTCTTTCTGCCATGTCACGACATTTGCTCATTTCTATTGTTTCCTAGTCTATTGGCCACTATTGAATAATTGTTCATTGTTCGATAGCTAGGACCTTTTCTTACATACATACTCGAACTACATATGGAAATACGATTTTTTCGCTGCTTTTAGTGTTTCTGATAGTATCACTTCATTAATAATACTCCGTTTCTTTTGTAGTTGATTCTGTGACAACAACTAATACAACTGCCACATCCTCGATCAAACCAGGATTACAAACAGCAAATCCAGGGGCAACAGTAACAACAACAGTACCTCAAACGTGTGAGTCTCTTAACATGTGGTATTCATAGCAGTAGTTGGAGGCGCAGATGAACCACCCGTCAATAAACCTAAAGCGGAGAAGTGAACTATCGTTAGCTTCATTTGTACTGAGACTTAATATGAAGCACTAAGATATTTTGATTTAGTACGCATTAACTTGTTGTCAGCCACTTCCACTACACACATGCACAATTTGGTGCATAAGAAAATGAAATAATGACCATTACCATAAACAGTTCACTAACAGCCTACAAACAAAACAGAGTGTGGGTGTAGACAGGAGTAAGATGGTAATTGGAAAAGAACAATGAACCTATTTAGCTGATGTTCATATTAGAATCATTTGTAAATATTTTACTAGATACTTAATAGCAGAAAACGGCTCATGCTTCTCGGTAACCATAATGTTGCTTATTTCTTTGTCTTTTAGCCTCAGCTTGCACGGATGGCATCAAGAATCAAGACGAGACTGCTGTGGACTGTGGTGGGGCAATATGTGCAGCAAAATGTGCTCTGGAACAGACGTGTTCAAAAAACGCTGATTGTGCAAATGGAAATTGTCATTCAACGTTGAAAACATGTCAAAGTAGGGAGAAATTTTCTCTTGCGATACGAGAATAGCAGTTTTATATACCCAAACGTAACTTTAACGCCTTATTCTGGAAGTATCGTCCCGTTGAAAATCTGCCGTAGAAGATCTCTCCCAAGCTTCTTTTAAGACACTAGCCGTTTAATTAATCTTCTCCTTCATATTATATGGAAAGATCATAGTACTCTCTCCGTTTTAGTACCAAGCTGTAGCGATGGCAACAAGAATCAAGACGAGACTGCTGTGGACTGTGGTGGGGCAATATGTGCAGCAAAATGTGCTCTGGAACAGACGTGTTCAAAAAACGCTGATTGTGCAAATGGAAACTGTCATTCAACATTGAAAACATGTCAAAGTAGGAAGAAGTTTTCTCTTGCGATACGAGAATAGCAGTTTTATATACCCAAACGTAACTTTAACATTCTATTATGGAAGCAGGGGCGAGTTAAGTCGAACTGAAAATCTATGTCAGAAAAACCTTTCGAAGATCATTTTCTTTTCACTCGAATTTAACAAATTAATCAGTATCTGCTGGATCCCACAATGTTCAGGGTGTAAACAGTTATTCAGTAGTGCAGTACAACAAACTGAGGCATCGAGGTCGAATCTCGGTGGATGCTTTTCCAGTTTGTGCCCAGATGTACTGTCTGAAAAACGATCGAGAGAATGACTCTGCTGTATTCTGTTATTAGTTTTAAGGGTTGTCAACCGCTAGCACAGGCGTCGTAAAAGAATGGAAAACTGTGGTGTTTAGGTCACTCTCATGAGTGGCATGATTTCTTTTCTTTTTATTGGAGAAATCAACATGCTAACCATCATCATTTGTCATGAAAAAGCCATACTATGCTCTCTGTTTTAGCACCAAGCTGTAGCGATGGCAACAAAAATCAAAATGAGGTCGATGTGGATTGTAGTGGTATCTGCGCAGCCAAGTGCTTAGCTACTCAGTCATGTCTCACAAATGCGGACTGTGCCTCTACATTCTGTAGCACAACATCCAAGAAATGTGATGGTATGTAGTACTCTTCGGTGGCTTATGCTTCCCATACTTAGGCTATACAAAAAAGTTCGTCTGCTGAGGTTAAAAAAAAACATTGAAAAGTGAATATTGAATATAACGGGTGGGGCATAAAAATCTACAGAGATGATCTATTTCATATTTGAACCTATCATTCAGCTAACCAAACCAAGGTCGAGTGCACACCATCGAATCCGACAAAATCCGATATTTTTGCCGGCCGAATCCGACGGGATCCGAATGCCGGATTACTCGACCTGAGCAACTATAATTCAGTGGATATGTTAGCACAAATGGATTTTCGATATTGCTGATTACTGTGAACATTTAAGTAAACGAAGACACGAATATTTTCTTTTTTTCGTGTGCTCGTTTTGCAACTATAAGGATCTTTTCTTGGGTATAACTGCTCTACATTTTTTTCTGAGCGAATTATACAGTCAGATACGCGATACACCAGCTCAATATAGAATGAAACAATATGTGTTATATTATATACTCCAGTAACAAAGCATTTGATTGAAGCGAGTGGTGTGATATATCCTGCCCTTTTTAGACAAGTTGCTCTCCACCGCAAGACGCATCTCTTATTGCTAGAAATTCCCTCGTTTCTTGCGGTGGACGACGGCACGCCTACAGAACATAATATTCGACTCACTCCTGGAAGGATAAATAGAAAGCACACATACATTCTCGTAACACATATAGTTCCAATTTCTGTCTGACATGAAATACTAAAAATATTACACTGCTCTACAGACCGTCAGCTACAATTTTATACGTGCAACATCGTAGACTCTATTCATTTTCCATTCTGTCTTCACTTTTCTGCATTCCTCATATTTCAGCTATAGTATGGCGCATACTTCCTTTCATACTACACCCTGCTAGGCAATCTCACACTGCAACGGTATTAATTGATGGACAAGTGTTGCTGGCTGGTGGTGTGGACAGCTACTTTGGTTTCTTGCAGATTACTGAACTTTACGACCCTGCCATTCAAACGTGGATGGCTACTACCGGCAAGATGAATTTTGCGCGGATGTTTCACACTGCAACGCGGTTAAATGACGGAACAGTATTGGTGGCTGGTGGTGACAGCGGCAGTGGTGCAGTAAATACTGCTGAGCTCTACAATCCAAACACACAAACATGGACCACGACTACCGGCAACATGGCTTTAGCGCGGATGTTTCACACTGCATCACTGTTAAATGACGGAAAAGTATTGGTGGCTGGTGGTCATAGCAGCAGTGGTGCAGTAAATACTGCTGAGCTCTACAATCCAAGCACACAAACGTGGAGCACAACTACCGGCAACATGGCTGTACCGCGGAGGTTTCACACTGCATCACTGTTAAATGACGGAAAAGTATTGGTGGCTAGTGGGGACAGCGGCAGTGGTTTGTTAAATACTGCTGAGCTCTACAATCCAAACACACAAACATGGACCACGACTACCGGCAACATGGNAAGTATCACACTGCATGACTGTTAAATAATGGAAAAGTATTGGTGGCTGGTGGTGATAGCGGCAGTGCTTTCTTAAATACTGCCGAGCTCTACAATCCAAGCACACAGACATGGGCCACGACCACCGGTAACATGGCTGCTGCGCGGAGGTATCACACTGCATCACTGTTAAATGATGGAAAAGTATTGATAGCCGGTGGTGATGGCATCAGTGGTTCGCTCAAGAGTGCTGAGCTCTACAATCCAAGCACACAAACATGGACCACGACTACCGGCAACATGGCTGCTGCGCGGAAGTATCACACAGCCACGGTATTAACTGATGGAACAGTATTGGTGATTGGTGGTTATAGCGGCAGTGCTTTCTTAAATACTGCCGAGCTCTACAATCCAAACACACAAACATGGGCCACGACTACCGGCAACATGGCTGCTGCGCGGAGGTATCACACTGCATCACTGTTAAATGATGGAACAGTATTGGTGATTGGTGGTGAAAGCGGCAGTGGTGTAGTAAATACTGCTGAGCTCTACAATCCAAGCACACAAACATGGGCCACGACTACCGGCAACATGGCTGCTGCGCGGAGGTATCACACTGCTTCACTGTTAAATGATGGAAAAGTATTGGTGGCTGGTGGTGACAGCGGCAGTGCTTTCTTAAATACTGCCGAAGTCTATAATCCAAGTACACAAACATGGACCGTAACTTCTAACGACATGAATGTTGCACGGGGATATCACACTGCATCAAGATTAAACAATGGGAAAGTTTTGGTGGTTGGTGGTTCCGATCGTGCTGGAAGCATTATTCAAACTGAACTCTATACACCGGTATAGACGTAGCCGTGCATTGTATTATAAACTGATGCTGAAATTTTTGTTAGAAGATAATTTCTAGTTGCAGATCGCATGTTAACAAAATAACATTTTTCTTAACCGACTGTAATAGTTTGAAAGCACATTAACTTCTCTTTACCCTAATAAAAAAAGTTCAAACAGCTGAATCTCCAGATTTGTCGTTAAGAATTGGGTAGGTGTTTTGACTTACGAAGCTAGTTGAATCTACCCTGTTCTTAATTGTTGCCGCGATCCCATGAGTTGCCTAATTCGACTTGTATTATAAATGGACATCCAAGAGTCTACTATGAATTCGAATATAAATACACACCTATAACTTCGAAAGTATATGAATAGATAGAGGATGAGGGTGAGGGAGAGTTATATGCGTACGTATATAGTGGAACCCTACGATCGCGATTTCGATCTTTTCGAAGGATAGATCATCAGGTAGGTCAATAACTGCATTGAAATCCAAATTCAAAAAGAAATTGGAAGGACTCATCAAAGTCTACCGAAATTCGATAACTCAATAACAAACTGATTTATCTATGCTTAAGAAAAATAATTTCAATTTGCTGAATTTCAACTCTTACTTTTCAGTAACCGACAATATCGAAAAAATCAATAATAAATTAGTCTTTAGAGTAAGTTAATAAAAAGTTATGTAGAGTTTAACTTTGCCGACGCGTTTCATGTTTATTGGTTAAATTAAATAAAACACTCATCAGGGCTCTACATAAATAAGAACTAAGTAAAAAAGTGAAAAAATATGGATAAATAGCAAGAGATAGAGACAAGCGAAAATGCAAGTTAATGAAGTAAATAACGAAGATAGAGAAGAGGAATAATAATAATAGTAATCAACAGAAGCTTTTAGTAAGTATATGAAATAATGGAAAAAATAAGAACAAAAGAAGAAGATTAGTTAGAATGAAGTGAGAGACGCAGATGTTCATGTGTCTCGAATTCGGACTAGGTGACGTTGTAGGTTATTGGCATTACGAGTACCCAGTACAGGGTTAATATCATTAATAGGTGAGCGTTCAAAGTATTTCTACCAAAGACTGTGAAATTTTTTAGGAAATGATCGCATGTTGGAAGAATAAGTAAAATGGACGAACATGATGTGACCATTGTAACGAAATTTACTTCTGATGGATGAATATAAATCAAGAGACGTTAAATAGTTCAAAACATTCGGACAACACCAAGACGTGATGATTTATTGTTTATTAATGATGAAAATAATGACAAGGTTCACAAAGCAATATAGATGGAGATTGAGCAGGTTCAGACTTCTATTCCGTTTTCAGAGTCAACTATAATGACTAAATCTAACTTCTATAACAAGATACGTGTAGCACACTGTGTATACGTGTATAGTTGTAAACGACTAACGTAGAAGTCCAGACACAGCTAACTCCTATTAATGTCCGTCTACAACTAACTCCTTCGATATCATATCCGAGAGACCTTCTATCCGAGAATAAGAGAGAGAGAGCAAGATAATTATCGAGAAAATGTATAGAGAGAAAATATCTTGAAGGGGAAGGATAAAGAGAAGGGAAAGAAAAAGTCATAGAAAGCGAAACGATAATAGTTCAAGGGATATTGAGATATATATATGGCGTATTTTACAAAAGGACGTCTACCACTTTTGTCGGCACAGCTCCCCTTCCAATTCAGACGCGCTCCTGAGCGTCTATAAATAAGACCGTATAGGAAGAGAGAAAACACTATCGATGTTCTTCATATCGCAAGGGCAAGAAGAGAACATATGCACCAGAAGAGAAGAAAGAACCAAGCAGCCGCAAAAAATACATTGTATGAGTATATAATAAACTAGAAATACAAGAAAAGTAGTGTAAAGAGTGACAAAATCATAGGAAAACGAACTTAACCCCTTCTTTATTGTCACGAGAGATACATAGCCGTGTAATTTATAACGGGTGATTCCATGGGACTTGTGACACGATACACACAACATTCACCAAATCGCTTGAAACTTTCAGGACTCATATAATAATCAATTCTAAGACTTTTTTGCTCTTGGACGAAAGTTCTAGGACGTTTTGTTCAAGAGCTATAGGCCAAATACTAAGTACCCTTCGGAACGGATTTTTAAAGTACCTTTTTCTTTCCAACACGCATAGTTTTGCGCCACTTTGTGCTATGGAAATTCTGACGATATATTTGGATTCCTCTAAGATCCACGGGGCTCTGGAAACCCTTTTCAACCACCCAGTAGTCCAGGCTCGGAATCTCCATAAATAGAGAACTCTGGACTTCGTGGAACATCTCATTTGATAGAGCATCACAAGATCTATCGAACCATGTGTGCGCCATCGGGCGGGTGTAAGGTTTCACCGAGATAGGGTCTTCAGAAAACTTACATGGATCTTTGGAAAATTAAAATTATTTTTTGATGAAATAGGACCAAAAATATGTGAAAAAACTTTGTTTTAGAGATGATGCCGTAATAGTACGTAAAAGATTTCCTGTCTCTTTTAACAGGTTGGATTCACGGAATTCGTAGTTTTCATCAATTTGATCCTCTAACAGTGAATCGTATCAATTGTCGTACAACATCCAGTAGCTTAGACTCAAAAACATTAGCTTTTTAACTCGTTCTTCCGCGGTTTTTTCTTCTTCTCATGCTTCCAAAACCAGGCTTTTCTTATTATAAAAATATGAACATTGTAGTATTGATGTATTAACACATGTATCAATGAAAAATTGCATAGATCTAAGATAGTTCTTCAGAGATCTTTAAGGAATCTTGATAAACACAAGGAATCTTTGAAGCACTATCACGGCATCATTTATAAAACAAAGTTCTTTCACGTATATTTTGACCAATTTCACGAAAAGAAATTTTTAATTTTTCAGAAACCCATGTAAGTTTTGTGAAGACTC